TTTCGCTCGAGACATCCTGCCAAAATTCCAGGAAATCGTACAAAAACAAACAAATTAGTCGAAACATCATCGAAATTCCTTCGCGCGGGGCGCTTTCCCGCGTCGCGGTCGGCTCTGCAAAACAAGCGTTTCGCTCGAGACATCCTCGGCAAACTCTGCGGAGCAAGCGTTTCGCTCGAGACATCCTCAACACACGAAAAAGTGGCCCGCACCCTGTGATTTATCGATCGGGATTTCAAAAACAAGCGTTTCGCTCGAGACATCCTCAAATTTTAATTCGCCGGCCTCCTTCGACCTCGTTATTTATCAGGGAAAAAATTCGCCGGCCTCCCTCAAGTTGGCACCGGGGGACAGGTTTACCTACTAAAAGAGAACCCTGGGCCTGTGCCCTTTCCGGGAAAAAACAGAAGCACGCCAGAGTAGACCCCGAGAGCTGAAGGAGTGCGGGAAAATAGACCCCAAGAGCGAAGGAGCAAACCAGAAAAAGACGAGGAGCACAGCAGAATAGAACCCAAGAGACAAGGAACACGGCAGAATATGCCCCAAGTGCGAAGGAGCACGGCAGAAAAAAAGCAGGAGCACGGCAGACAAAGACCAGGAGCACAGCAGAATATGCCCCATGAGCGAAGGAGCACGTCGGAAACAAACCAGGAGCATGGCATAATAGACTCCAAGAGCTGGCGAGCACGGCAGAAAAAGACCAGGAGCACGGCAGAATCGACCCCAAGAGCTAAGGAGCACGGCGTAATAGACCCCAAGAGCGAAAAGGACGCCAGAAAAAGACCATGAGCACGGCAGAAGATGCCCCAAGAGCTAAGGACGACGGCAGAAAAGACCGACACACAGCAGAAAAGGCCCGAGGAGCCAAGGAGTACGACAGAAAAGACCAGGAGCACGGCAGAATAGGCCCGAAGAGCGAAGAAGCAAACCAGAAAAAGACGAGGAGCACGGCAGAATAGACCCCAGGAGACAAGGAACACGGCAAGAGATGCCCCAAGTGCGAAAAAGCACGGCAGAAAATGACCAGGAGCACGGCAGAATAGACCCCCAGAGCTCAGGGGCACGGCAGAAAAAGACCAGGACCACGGCAGAATAGACCTGAAGAGCTAAGGAACAGGCAGAAAAAAAGACCAGGAGCACGGCAGATTAGGCCCCCAAGAGCGAAGGAGCACGGCAGAAAAAGACCAGGAGCACTGCAGAATAGACCCCAGGAGCTAAGGAGCAGGGCTGGATATGCCTCAAGTGCGAAGGAGTACGGCAGAGAAAGACCAGGAGCACGGCAGGATAGACCCCAAAAGCTAAGGAGCACGGCAGAGAATGACCAGGAGCACGGCAGAATAGGCCCCAAGAGCGAAGGAGCACGGCAGAAAAAAAAACAGAAGCACGCCAGAGTAGACCCCGAGAGCTGAAGGAGTGCGGGAAAATAGACCCCAAGAGCGAAGGAGCAAACCAGAAAAAGACGAGGAGCACAGCAGAATAGAACCCAAGAGACAAGGAACACGGCAGAATATGCCCCAAGTGCGAAGGAGCACGGCAGAAAAAAAGCAGGAGCACGGCAGACAAAGACCAGGAGCACAGCAGAATATGCCCCATGAGCGAAGGAGCACGTCGGAAACAAACCAGGAGCATGGCATAATAGACTCCAAGAGCTGGCGAGCACGGCAGAAAAAGACCAGGAGCACGGCAGAATAGACCCCAAGAGCTAAGGAGCACGGCGTAATAGACCCCAAGAGCGAAAAGGACGCCAGAAAAAGACCAGGAGCACGGCAGAAGATGCCCCAAGAGCTAAGGACGACGGCAGAAAAGACCGACACACAGCAGAAAAGGCCCGAGGAGCCAAGGAGTACGACAGAAAAGACCAGGAGCACGGCAGAATAGGCCCGAAGAGCGAAGAAGCAAACCAGAAAAAGACGAGGAGCACGGCAGAATAGAACCCAAGAGACAAGGAGCACGGCAGAAGATGCCCCAAGTGCGAAGAAGCACGGCAGAAAATGACCAGGAGCACGGCAGAATAGACCCCCAGAGCTCAGGGGCACGGCAGAAAAAGACCAAGACCACGGCAGAATAGACCCCCAGAGCTCAGGGGCACGGCAGAAAAAGACCAGGAGCACGGCAGAATAGGCCCCATGAGCGAAGGAGCACGGCAGAAAAAAAACAAAGAGCACGGCAGAATAGACCCCAAGAGCTGAGGAGCACGGCAGTAAAGGCCCCAAGATCGAAGGAGCATGACAGAAAAAAACAGGAGCACGGCAGAATAGACCCCAAGAGTTGAGGAGCACGGCAGAATAGGCGCCAGGAAAGAAGGAGCATTGCAAAACACGACCAGTGACCAGGAGCACTGCAGAATAGACCGCGAGAGCTAAGGAGCACGGCAAGATAGATGCAAGAATACAGCATAATACGCCCCAAGGAAGAAGGAGTATGCAAGAAAAACACAAGGAGCACGGCATAATAAACCCCGGAAGCGAAGGAGCACGGCAGAATATGCCCCAAGAGCAAAGGAGCACGGCAGAAAACGACCAGGAGCACGGCATCATAAGCCCCAAGAACAAAGGATTGTGACAGAAAATGGCCAGGAGCATGGCAGAATAGGCCCGAAGAGCGCAGGAGCACGGCACAAAAAAACAAGGAGCATTTCAGAATAGACCCCAGGAACGAAAGAGCACGGCATAATAGACGTCAAGAGCGAAGGAGCACGGCAGAACTGCTCATTCTCTGCCTTGCTCTTTTTTCGCCGGCCATGCTCCGCCCGATTTGTTCGAGGATGTATGTAGCGAGAGCGCGATGTTTAACACGAGAGGTAGTAAAAACGCCACTCCAAGACATCATTTCTGTTAACATGTCTCAGGCGAGACACCCGTTTTTGAACATCTGTCGAATTCGCGGCTTCCCATGTTTAAGGGATGTCTCAGGCGAAACGCTCATTTTTGATGAAATCGATGTTGTGAACATTTCATTTGTTTAAGGATGTCTCAGGCGAAATCGCCATTTTGGATCGTCTCGAGGGCGCTCCTGGGGGTCAAATTTGGGCTTGTTTGGGGCCTTTGGGTGCCTTCTTGATGCCTTACAAAACCGTTACAGTCCGATGTTACACACATTCATTTTTGTCAGGAAGTCCCTAGCGAAATCGCCATTTTTAGATGACTGGCTTAAACCAACTAGAAGCCTTTTCAGGAGCGATCCCCAGACGATGTTCAAACAGCAGTTTTCAAAACGATGTTGTTCGATTTGTTATTTGTTTGAAGACGTCCCTAGCGAAATCATTATTTTCAGCAACCTTAAGGGCGCTCTTGGAGCCATGTTGTGGCCTTCTTTTGCTTCCTGATGCCCTCCTAAAATCATTACGATGCGATGTCGCACGCATCATTTTTTTCAGGATGTCCCTACCGAAATCGACATTTTTTGAAGGCTGCCTTGGGCCGTCTGGAAGCCTTTTCAGAAGCAATGTCAAAACTATGTAAGAACAACAGCTTTCAAGTCGATGCTGGTGTATGTGTTCACTTTTTGAGGATGTCCCTAGCGAAATCGCTATTTTCGGAAGTCCCCAATCGTTATGACAGCCATCTTGACGTGCTTTTTGGCCTCTCATTTCGTCATCTTGAGGTACTTCGAGAACGATATCAAGACGACGTTGAGGACATCTCATTTTGTTGAGGATGTCCCTAGCGAAATGCAAATTTTCTGCCGTGCTCTTCGTTCTGGTCCGCCGTGCTGCCGCTCGTTTTCTGAGGATGTCCCTAGCGAAATCGCAATTCTTAACATAAGAGTTAGTTAAAGACTTCAGTCGTCATTTCATTGTTCCGAGGATGTCCCAAGCGAAACGCAAATTTTCCCAGACGGCGAAATTTCGCTGTCATCAGCTTTTCGAGGATGTCTCGAGCGAAACGCTTGTTTTTGTTAAACGCGATGTCGCGAAGAGCTAAATTTTGTGAGGATGTCTCGAGCGAAATCGCCATCCCGAGGAATCCGCTAAGCCGGTTCCCCGTGCAGCCCGCCACCCCCTATAGTTAAGAGATCTCTTACTGATATGAAGAGGATTCAGCCAAAACGTGCAGCTCGCTTCTCGTTCCTCGAAGACGCTTCCCGTCATCCGCCGGCCCTCTCCCCGTCAGATCCGGGAGTAAACCTCTAAAAAAGCACCCTGGGCCTGAAGCCCTTTCCGGGAAAAAGCCCAGGAAGCTCCCAGGAGGCCGTAAGAGTGGCCACAGATGCTCTCAAGAGGCCTCCTCTCCTCCTCCTCCTCCTCCTCCTCCTCCTCCTCCTCCTCCTCCTCCTCCTCCTCCTCCTCCTTCTCCTTCTCTCCCTTTTCTCCTGTTCCTCCCTATCCTCCTCCTCCTCCTCCTCGTCCTTCCCCCAGTGTTTCCCAAAGGGCTTCCACACTGGCTGGAGGAACGCATGGTCCAATAGCGTGGCCAAGCACTGCCCAAACGTTCGGCCACGTAGGCATATCCTGAAAGGCAGGGGGCGGCAAAGATTCACCGTAGGCGCCTTCGATACACACACACACGAACACACGAACACACGAACACACACGAACACACACGAACACACACGAACACACACACACACACACACACACACACACACACACACACACACACACACACGCACACACACACACACACACACACACACACACACGCGCGCGCGCGCGCGTACGCACAACCCAACGATAAAGAATTCAGGCTGGACGCCAAATGCACACTGTGCTGACACATGTACGCAAATTGGTCCTGCCAACAGCTCGCGCTCGACGGGAGCAACGCCAGAAGACTGGCGAGCCCACTGGCCGACAAGACTACTCTGAGATTTCAGTAGACAAGCAATGGAGCAAGGGATACAGCAGGGTCAGAAGTGTGAAGACGGGAGGAGGACCGCCGCAAGAGCGAGCGAGCAGGGGGACGAGCTCAACGAGGAACAACGTCTCGAGACAGGATGGAATCTCCTCGACGACAGGTGCGAGGGGGACAGGTGGGAGGGGCTAGCCCACCAGCTGAGGCGGGGATGGCTCCGTGGGCATGCGCGCAATCTCGCCGGGGCTGGGAGCGCACCACTCCAGCCTGCGGGCGCAGAGTTCCACCAGGCCGCTGGGCCTCGGCGGAGGCGCCGGGAGGGCCCGACGGGGAGGGGAGGGGGAAGAGGGCGGGGGGCAGGGAGGCAGAGGAAAGGGAAGGGACGGGCGAGAGCGGGGGGGACCGGGGAGGGGGAGGGGGTGCCGGGAGGTCGCTGAGGGCGGCACGGGGCGAGGGGGGGGCGGTGGGCCAGGAGCGAGCGCGGAGAGGGGAAGAGCCGGGAACCACGGCCGCGGCGCGACCAGTCCGACGAGCGGCTCGGCCCGACGGGCCAAGACTGACCGGACGAGTCTCCTCCCCGCCCCGCCTCTGTCGTCCATCTCGTCTTCTCGCGTGCGAGGCGAGGCCGGGATATCAGATGTCAGAACGAGGGGACCGAGCGGTCCTCACACCTGGAGGGCAGAAGGACTGCCCTCAGGATAACTACTTCGACAGGCGAAGCCCTCGAGTAAAACGAGCCGTGTGCATGGATCGAACAAGGCGAGGCCGTTTAGTCAGCACCCAAGGCTCTCCAGTGGAAGCCAGTGGTGGAGGTCGAGGTGGCTTTTCGGAAAATAGCTATCCTCCCTCAGTTCCCAGTCCCTGGGTGCGCGGCTGCAGTGGGGTCCCGTTGTTCATGTTGTCCAAAGGTGCTGTCGTCGCCCCGCGACCCGCATGTGGCCCGCCAGCGCCGCGATCCCCCCGCCGCGACTCGACCCGTCCGCGCAGTCACTCACCCGCGATCCGCCCGTGCCGCGACCCACACGCGTCCCACACTCCTCGGCGGGCTCGCTGCATAACGTGTTCAAGCATCTGCATGCGGCGGGCTTCTTCAGATGCTGACAGGGGATACGTCGACCCCTATCCCAGGCTTCGTGGGGTTTTCGAAAGGACCAAACATCTGGGGCCCAAGCCTGGGACATACGGGGGGGGCGTGCATCCTCGATGGGGGTGCGGTCGAATAGCCTCCTTGGAGTGTATCCCGAGTCCCTCATTTCCTGAGCGGCTTCCTTTTTAGTCGACGAGTGGGGGGTTCGGGAGAAACCATCGCCTGTGTGAAACATCTGCGTGCGCCGGGCTTCGTCGCGTGTGCATTCGAGCCTCGCAGCCCACCGAGGCCCCACCGCCTCCACTCCTGTCCGCAACTGCCGCCAGAGGCTGTGCTATACATCTGCACCGCCTGGGGGGGGGGGGGGGGGGGCAGTGCGCTGGGAGCTCAAGAGGCTGCGGATCCGCCACCGTGCTTGCAGCTGTAGGTGTGTGTGTGTGTGAGTTTATGTGCGCGCGTGTGTGTATGTGTGTGTGTGTGTCTGTGTGTGTTTGTCTGTGTGTGTGAGTGTGTGTGAGTGTGTGTGAGTATGTGTGTGTGTGTGTTTGTGTTTGTGTTTGTGTGTATTTGTGTGTGTGTGTCGAGCCCTCTCGCTCCTTGCGAAGCGAAGCAGAAGCAACAGTTGCCCCCCCCGACGCATCGAGCCCCAGATGCGCTCACTATCAGGACAAAGTCCTTGCGATGTTGTGGCCGTCCAGGCAGAAGATGTGCCGAGATACGGGGTTTTGGGAGGGAAGTTCAGTGGACCCCCCCCCCTCATGGCGCTCCAACCCCCCGCCCCGCCCCTTGGCCCCCGCCCGAGCGCGGTGGCAGAATCGCGCGGCAGCACTAACTAGATGTGGATCATTGTTCTGGCTCGCCTATGGCCCGATCAAATCAGCCTTCGCAGCCTCCTGGTGGGGCGGGGCTCCCCTCGCAGCGGACATGTGCAAACCTCACCCCCAGACCTCATCGTGGGCGGGGGCGTGGGGGGCAGAGGGAGGTCGATGTCGCTGCTCCCTGGCCCTCTCCGGGGGGTGCGTCCTGGCCAAAGCTTCGACGCGAGCCCAGCTGTGGCGACGAGGGCTCTCCAGGACGAGCAGGTCCACCGGAGCGCCACGAGCGAGGGAGGGACGGGAGCGGGGCACACGCCCGAGACCGTGGCCGCTGGCCGCTGGCCGTGCCACACTCACGCGGTACGGCGGCCACGCCCCGCCCTGCCCGCGCTGCCTTCGATCGGCCTCCCCCCCGTCCTGGGGGAGCAAGAACGGTGCTCGTCGCTGACGCTTCGGGCCCTCGAGGCCCGATAGCATGCCTCAGGAAAAAGGAAGAAGTGCTGGCCGGTCCGAGGAAGTGGGCACAAGCAAGAGTCCCTCAGCGCGTGTTATACTGAGGACGAAGCACCGGGCTTTCACAAAACAGCGACGGGGCAGCACGACGACGGGCTCCACACGACGGCGTGCCGGTGATCCTCTCTTGCCCTGCTGACATCCGCACTCCTCCTCCTCACGCCCACGACTTGGGCACCGCCTGCAGAGGGCCACAGGCAGCGGCAGGCTGGAAGAGAGAAAAACAAGACGGCCACGCAACACTCAGAAACAGCAACATGTCCATTTCCGAGACAGAGAGCATGCTGTCGGAGTGTACGGCGAGGGCTTGGGGCAATTCCTCATCTCGAGGTCTCGAGGATTGACTCTGCACACCCGACTGGCCACACGCCCTCTCCAAACACCATTCCCAACATATCGATTCCATTCGTGTGCCATGACGGCCTGGCAATCCACACTGAAACTGATGATGACCACTCGCAGAAGGAGAGGGCTCGATTACCTGTTTGGCGCCGTTACCTATGAACCGTCCCCATCGCAGGGCCACTGCGCAGCGTGCCTCAGTCATACATTGCTTTTACGTGTATTCGACTCTCGCCCGAAAGAGATTTAGCTCCATGCCTGCTATGCTTGGCTAGCTTCTTGGCTACTTCAGGTAAGTTGTGTGTATGACATCTGCCTTGATGCTGACCTCGGTAACGTCCTCGCTGGGAAATGGCGCAACAATTGCAGCCTCACTTCATAAGCTGCTGATGGCAACACGTAGCACCAGAGCATTGGTCATGACTAGCTCGGATGGCGCCGTCATGCTACGGTCTCGTCCAGCACACTGGCCATTTCGTGCTGCAACACGGCTGTCTTGAATTGCTGCGTTGGAAATCGGCACGCCTATGCCTGCAACGGGGTGCCATGCTCCCAGGTACGCGTTGTCCTCAACGACCCCCTGGCATGTGCAATCCTCTCTTGCATCAGCCGCTGGCTGCAGCTCGGGCACGCAAGCAGCAGCGCAAGGGAGAAAATGATGGCATGATGAGATTGCAGAGTCATCGATGGTGGCCAGAGGGAAGGACAGGGCGCGAGTTGAGGGAAGGGACGTCAAAGCATCACATACAAGGCTGGGTCTTCGGGCCTGTGGAGGGCCACGAAGCACTGCCTGCACAGGGGGCACCGCCTCTCCTTGCGCTGCGCCCCCGCAAATTGCTCGACCTCATTGGCCGGGGCATGCCAGTGGAAAAAAAACCCAAAAAAAAAAAAAAAAAGAAAAAAAAAAAACCAAAAACAAAACAAGTGAAAAAAAGGAAGAAAAAAAAAAAAAAAAATAAACAGAAAAAAAAAATAAAACAAAACAAAAAAAAAAAGAATAATAGGGAAAAAAAGAAAAGAAGTAAAAAATAAGAAAAAAAGAAAAAAAGTGGAAGCCGAGCAAAGAGCGATGCACAATAACGTCATTAATGAATTCCCCAGCCCACATCACGGCCCCCTTCGCAGGGATCTAATGAATCGACCTGCCCCTGAGGTTAACAGAACTGCAAGGCTCGAACTACACATGGGCGCAGCCGCATGGTAAAAAATAGAACAAGTGGGTGGCCCCCCAATGGCATAAAGACAGATACAATAACAAAAAAAGAAGGGAAAAATATCAGAAGGCCGCATGGCGCTACCCCCCATTTGGGCACATTCCTGAAGCGGATCATGCCCCATCAGGGGCTCCACTTATGGTTCTGGTGGTTGCGCCCGAATGGCACGATCCAAAAATTTTGAGCACACCCCTCATGCTAATCGCCCCAAGCGGCGAGTCTGCATAGCGGTACCACGCCCATTCCGGCATGCCCCTCATGCGATCGTGCACCCGAAAGAGAAAGGAACCTGTAAGCGATAATCCTTCGCAGCTTCATTACATTTCATGCACCTCCCCTTATTAGCATGTTTTCCCTTCTTCCCTTCGTGCATTTGCTTAGTGATTCCCAGACCTGTGTTTTCACGAGTGGTGCTCTGCGTGCGTTGCACGCAGCTGTCGTCAGCTGGGCCCTTCGCCAGGCGAATGCTGCTTAACTTTGCCAAGACGTGTCAGCAATCATCGACCTTTGATACGCACTACGGCGCAGCAACCTGCCGAAGTGCCTGCACCCCTAACTGTGCTCGGAGCCAGAGAGAGAGAGAAAGAAAGAGAGAGAGAGAGAGAGAGACACACACACACACATCTCTCTCTACGTAGCACCCCGCAATTGCGGATAAGAGTGAGGGAACGGGCGCGGGAGACGCGGGCGTCGAGCCAGCGGACCTCGTGGCCCTCACCTTCCCTGTCGATGGCGCCCTCCTCCTCCTCCTCCTGCTCCTCCTCCTCCTCTTCCTCGTCCGCGTCCTCGTCCTCATCGTCGTCATCGTCCGCCCCCTCTTCCTCCACCTCCTCCTTCTCTTCCTCCTTTTCTCCCTCCTCCTCCTAACAGGACGCGCAGGGTGTCACCCGGAACGAATGCAAAACCAGCCCGCCGCAGGCGCCGAACATTTTGATTTGTACACTGAACGCGGTTTGGTTCGCAGGTTCTCCACCGGGAACGACTGCAAAACAAACCCGCCGCAGGCGCCGAAGTTTTGGCTTGTTCAGTGAACGTGGTTTGGGTCGCGGGTGGGTCTCGGGCTCTTTACCTCCACCTGGAGGATATTCAAAAACAGCCCGCCGCAGGCGCCGAAAATTTTGATTTGTATACTGAACGCTGTTTGGGTCGCGGGTGGGTCGCAAGTTCTCCACCCGGAACGACTGCAAAAGAAGCCCGCCGCAGGCGCCGAACATTTTGGGTGGGTCGCGGGTTGGTTCGCGGGTTGGTCGCGGGTGGGTCGCGGGTGGGTCGCGGGTGGGTGGCGGGGTGGGTCGCGGGTGGGTCGCGGGGTGGGTCGCGGGTGGGTCGCGGGGTGGGTCGCGGGTGGTCGCGGGTGGGTCGCGGTGATCGCGGGTCGCGGGGGGTCTCGGGGTGGGTCGCGGGCGGGTCGCGGGTTGGGTCGCGGGTGGGTCGCGGGTGGGTCGCGGGTGGGTCGCGGGGTGGGTCGCGGGTGGGTCGCGGGGTGGGTCGCGGGTGGGTCGCGGGTGGGTCGCGGGGTGGGTCGCGGGTGGGTCGCGGGGTGGGTCGCGGGTGGGACGACGACAGCAACAAACAAGAAACAGCAAACAGCAAACAACAAACAACAAACATGAGCAAACAACAAGCAACAAAGAACAGCAAACAACAAGCAACAAACAACACACAACAAACAACACAACGACAACAACAAACAACCAAACAAACAAACAAATAGAGAAACAAACAAATAAACAAACAACAACAACCACAACAACAACCACAACAACAATCACAACAACCACAACAATAACAATCATTTTAAGACTGTTCGCCCTTATCTGCTCGAGCGTCCAATAACGCGTATTTCCCAAACCCTCGATACCCGCCCTCTTCGTCTTCCATCGAACATCTTTTGGGGGTATACCTTTCTTCCCTGCAGGCCAGGCCCCAGCAAGTGGCGGGGCGGCCGCGGACCGTCGGCCTGGCCAGCCGCAACGCTGATCGGCGGGGCGGCCGCGGACCGTAGACCCGACCCCAAGAGGGATGGACAGGTGACCGACCACGACGAAGACGACGACGACGACGACGTCGACGACGACGGCGACGACGACGACGACGGAGACGACGACGACGACGACGACGAGCGAAAGCGAGAGCGAGAGAGAACGACAGCAGGGCCACAAGGACACGAAGTAGGCCACGAAGGGCGACAGCGGGGACACGAAGGGAATGCGTATGGGGCCACGAAGAGCGCGAACGAGTGGGAGCCACGAAGGGCATACGCATAATGGTCCGCAGAGGGCAAGGACGGGGCCACTGAGGGCAGCAACGGGGCCACGAAGGGCAGCGAGGGGGCCACGAAGGACGACAGCGGGGCCACGAAGGGCAGGAAGGGGGCCACGAATGGCGACAACGGGGCCACGAAGGGCATGCGCATGGGGCCACGAAGGGCAGATCATGCGGGGCCACAGAAGGCAACGACGGTGCCACTGAAGGTAGCAACTGGGCCACGTAGGACAGTGAGGGGGCAACAAACGGCGACAGCGGGGCCACGAAGGGCATGCACATGGGACCACAACGGGCGCGAACGAACGGGGGCCACGACGGGCATACGTATACTGGGCCGCGGAAGGCAAGGACGGGGCCACTAAAGGCAGCAACGGGGCCACGAAGGGCAGCGAGGGGGCCACGAAGGGCGACAGCGGGGCCACGACGGGCATGCATAGGGCCACCACGGGCGCGAACGAGCGGGGGCCACGAAGGGCATACATATATGGGGTCACGAAAAGCAGCGAGTGGGCCACGAAGGGCAGCGAGGGGGCCACGAAGGGCTACAACGGGGCCACGAAACAAAGCGAGGGGGCCACGAAGGGCTGCAACGGGGCCACGAAGGGCAGCGAGGAGGCTACGAGGGGCTGCAACGGGGCCGCGAAGGGCAGCGAGGGGGCCACGAAGGGCTGCAACGGGGCCACGAAACAAAGCGAGGGGGCCACGAAGGGCTGCAACGGGGCCACGAAGGGCAGCGAGATCCCTTGAGATTCTTAGGTAATCTGCGAGGGAGTCCTAAACGTGAGTGCGACCCCTGGGTGCCTGGGTGTCGGGAGCGCGGCGCTTGAATAAATTGGAAGAATTTCCACCGCAAGGACGTACACTTCAGTAAATTGCAAGCAAGTCTCCAGCGAGAGCGCGACTCCAGAGCGCCGGGAGAGCGATTCCTGAATACATTGTAAGGAAGTCCCAAGCGAGAGCGCGATTCCTGAATAGAATGCAAGGAAGTCTCGGGCGGGAGCGGGGGTCCTGGCTAAATTGTGAAGAAGTCTAAAGCGGGACGTGTTGTTGTTGTTGTTGTAACCCGACGGGCGAACGACACAGTTTGACCCTCAAAAACTTTCCCTGATAAAAAACAGGGTGCGAGCCCAGGGAAGGGCACTTAAATCGAGAAAAATCAATGTGCACCGGACGGGGTGGATGAACAATACTTACTCTTCAGGAATAAGAGTTCAACAACAACAACAACAGCAACAACAACAACAACGAGAATCCGCATCGCGGAATTCCACTTCAGCCACGCGCCCAGGGACAGTGCATGACCGTTCGGTTCAGCCCAATCACTCTGATATATTGGTAGACACAGGAAGAGAAATAGAGAGAGAAAGCAATACAGAAAGAGATACAGAGCAGTAAGAACGAGAGAGGACGACACATACCATATATGTATACATGTATAAGCACATATGTATGTATACATACATACTACAAACACGCGCGCTACGCGCGCGCTTGGGTTATACCCGTTTCCAACGACGCGGTGACTGCACACAGCGTGGAGTCCAAGGCGCCAGGGGAAAGGGTGCCGCCGCGAAGCGGGAGCACTCGACTCGAAGGATGGCTGAGTCAGAGGCATGGCCTAATCAGGAAGATTTGCATGGCATCATGAGGAACGATCTTGGCGCGTCTTGGAGCGCTCGCAGGGCGTCTGGGGCGGCCTCGAGCTGGTCCTGGCGGCCGCGGAAGCCGTCCGAGAATCCTGAGGGCCCCGCCCTGGAGACCCTGGGCCGCCCGGGGTCTCCATGCCAACCCGTGGCCATGATTCCGGGCCCGCCCCTGGCAAACTCCGAGGTACACACATGCACACACACACACACACGCACACACACACACACACACACACACACACACACACACACACACACACACACACACACACACACACACACACACACACACACACACACACACACGATACACACACGACACACACACACGATCCCCAAAACGGCCCAAAGAGGCAACAATCAGTGATGTTCCTTGTGTTTGTTCTATGTTGTTTAGCGTTCTCGCGTTGTAACGTCTTCGGGCTTCCGACGCTACAAGATCGCCCCAAGACGGCCCAAGAAGCCCCCAAGAGGGCCCCTCGACCGTTCAAGAGGGCCCCAAACAAGCCAAAGGGGCGCCCAAGATCGCCCAAGAGGGCCCCACAACTGCCCTAAAAGGTGCCCGAGAGGTGGGACCGCGAACCGACAATCCGAGCCTTCCGCCCCAAAAGACCCCCAAGAGTCTCCCAAGAGGTCCCCAAGAGAGCCCAAGGTGCCCCCTGAAGGCCCCACGGGGCCCGCAAGAGACCACCCAAACTGCCCCAAGAAGCTCCAA